AAGCTTCTTGCATTTGTTTCTCGAAGACAAGAGGAGTTGCAGAAATGCAGGAACATATTGCATAAGTCATGGAAGAAAGAGAAGAAATGTGTGGCTGTGGCCCAGAGAAGGACAAAAGCACAACCCTACTTCTAAGCCTTCTCCCCCAGAATAGTAAAGCCCAACATGGTGCTATATACCTGTAATCCCAGTACTTGGGATGCGAAGGCAGGAAGGTGGAGAGTTCAAGGCCAGCTTGGGCTGGACCGTGAGTTAAGAGCTAGCCTGGACTACACAGAGAGACTTTGTCTCAGAAAACAAAACAAAAGCACAACAAAAACATTCTAAATAGTTTAACTAACCTAGTTTTACTTCTTTAAATATTAACTAAAGAATATTTGTCTACTTGCTTATTTTTCAAAAATAGCAGACTATGTCAAAAGAAATTAACAGAAAGAAATATTTAAAACATATATAACCATAAAAAGCACTTATATCCAAAATATATAAAGAATTCCTCTAAACAGACAAGAAAAGCAAAATAGCTCATTAACAAAACAGGCAAATAAAGAGACATTTAACCAAAAAAATACAGGAACAATCAATAAATACATAATTTGAAGCTCAACCTTTTAGTAACCAGAGAAAATAACACTGAGTCCACAAGACAGCTTTCCATGTGTACTAAATCAGTAAGAATTTGACAGTCTATTCCAAAATTTGGAGACAGAGTACAATGGGAACTATCACCCACTCTCAGTAGGAGTGGCAACTGTTGACTGATTTTGGAAATCAATTTGGCATTGTCTAGAAAAGTTGTAGATACGCATATTGCACAAGACTGTCTCTGATGACATAGAAACAATCTCGCTGACCATCAAAAGGGGAATAAGTCAGCAATGAATGGTGAATTTGTACAACTGAGACAGTTTAGGACAGAAAACACTAGAAACAAATTGTGTCTGTACTGAACATGTGCAGACGGTTTCTTGTTATTCTCTAAACAATCCAGGATCACGACTATTTACATAGCATTTACATTGCATTAGATATGTAAGAAACCTAGAGTGACTTAAAGTATACAGCAGTATATGGACAGAATATGTGCAAGTGGTGCTCCACTGCACATCAGAGCTCTGTCCATCCACAGATTTGGTACCCTCAAGATCCAAGAACCAGTCTCCTAGGGATACTGAGGGAAAGTGTACTTTTCTCTGTGCAATAGGTAAGAATGAATTCCACAGATAGCATTCTGAGTAAATAATCAAATCAAAGAAGACATGGGACACATATGTTTCATTTATAAAGTTCCAAGACTTGTAAAACATCATTTTGTTAGGGTTATATACATAGTATATGCACATACTATATATAACACATATATACAAAGGAGTGTGTGCATGAACACATGTATTTATAAAAACATTAAAGAAAATATTGCCTCTGAGGTTGGGTGTAGTGGCGCATGCCTGTAATCCCACTACTCAGGAGGCTGAGGCAGGAGAATTATTATGAGTTTGAGACCAGCCTGGGCTACAAATCGAGCTCAAGGCCAGTCTAAGCTGCCTAGTGAGACCCTGTGTCAAAAAGACAAATGAGAAAGAAAGAAAAAAAGAAAGTATTGCCTCTGAAATGAGGGATAGTAAGAAGTAACTCATAAGCAAGTCAAAGAGAGTAAGTTTTCTTTCTTAAACTAGGTAGTAAATAAAGGGGGAAAATTTTTATTATTTTACTTACAATTATTTCATCTATATAAAACATTTTGTACTTTGTAAGCAGCTAATGAATGGGTACACATAAGCTGTCATTATGAAATATCTTTTGCAGAAACTGTCCATTTAGATAAAGATTTAGGCCGTGTAACACACTGTTTAGCCCTCTTCTGTTAACATACAGAGAAAGGCATATGATCCAGCATGGGCTTAGCGCATTCCTATCGCTGTGCGTGTTCTGCATAGCTGTGAGGTTGCTGCATCAGTACTAATCACTGGCCTTACAGCTCTGCTTTGTGTTTAAGAGAGAGTCTTCTAGAAATCACCCCACCCAGAGTGTTAGACACACTCTCCAAAACATGTTTTTCAAGTGCTATGAGGCCAAAAATTATTTGGCACAGTGAAAATGACCCAATGAACACGAGGTCCCAAATATTCTGTGCTTTTAAAGGCTCAGTTACAAGATTACAGAAAGGGTGTGACTAGGTTTTCTCCTTGGAAGATGTTGACGTGTGGCCATAAAGGAGACAAACACACTGAACGCTGTTCCATGCCAAATCGAGTCCAACACTATGTAAATCCTAAAACTTTCCAAGTGACAATTAATGGAGCTCTAGTTGGCAACCTGTCTTGTGTTCTGGGCCAGGCTGCCCTCAGAGTGCCCTCCGTGCCTCCTTCTCTAATGACACTCACCTCTGTTACTACCACCAGGTGTTCCTCTCAACAGCTCATTAGCAGCAAAGTTGAGGCCTTCCGACAATTGTCCGTGGGCCGGCATGTACCTCCTTCACTGAGCTACTGAGATCCACACACACCAGGTGGAAAGTAATTCACTCCCTACTGGAGAGAATCAGGAGCTGTTCTTCTTCTGAGACATATTGCTTTAGAAACCATTTCTTAAAAACTATTTCTGGTAGTTTTTGAAACAGTTACAAATGTCTTAACTCACATAAAATCCATCCTCAATTACAACCTAATTAGAACTGAATGAAAACCTGCCAGTATCACCTTTTGTGTTTACCAGTGCCATTTCTTTCCTGTCTCAGAGCTACCCAAGGAGCAGAGCATCTCCCAGACTACTGTGTCAAAGAACTAGGCATAAGACTTACTAAATTAGTCTGTTATTTAAATAAAACTATTTTCTCATGAAATTATTCCAAATCATTCATATATTTTAATGCCCATAGCAGATGACCAATAGAACTCTCCCTCCTAGGTCGATTGCCATTTCTTACTGATATCAGGCGTCAGAGTCTTATTACAACTTCATCTACGTATATTGTTTAGTGATCGAACTTACACTGTGTTCTACTTTCAACCTACAGCTAGTTTTGACTCAAATCTGGGAGTGCAGCTATACTTAGGATTAATGAAAGTAACCTCTAAATATATGGAGCGAAGTAAATCCCTGAAGGATTTCTACAGTAATAGAACTCCAGTTGAATTTTTTTTAATTTATTTTAGGGAAGGGTCTACAGGGTGTTCAGGGTCTCATTACTACATCAGACTCCTAGTGATCTGTCTGCTGACAGCCTCCCAAGAGCTGGGATTACAGGTGTGTGCCACCACGCCCAGTCTCAATCACCGTCTCAGCGTGCCTCAGAGGCATGGCCAGCACGGCAGGCCTGTCTGGTTGAAGTTTAAAGAATGACACAGAATATTATAATATAAAATATCTGTGATGTTTTCAATGTGAGAATATTTTAATTGCCTAAT